AGAATGAATATTGGCAGATAACTAGTATCTGATTAAATTTTATATATCATCTGTAGAACTTGAATGTGGATCAAATCCTTTACTTTCCTGTTTTGGAGTTAACTTTAATTTAAGCAGCAGGGGTCACTACTGAGCAAGTATTTATTTATTTTTTATTTTCTTTGTTCAAGCTATCTTCCTATTTTCAGATCCTGACTTTATAGCCTGTGAAATGGTTTCCTGGGTCTTGTTTGTGTGCTAAGCATTTAAATTCATTATGTTAGTGAACTAATCACATGTGTCAAAGATTTTAAAAGTGATAAGGGCTAGAATAATAGCAAAAAGATACTTATTGATATTCAGAAACTCTCAGATGATGTAATTACGATTTGAAACAAGTGGTTTAAAAGTTACATTCCTCAGCTATTTAATTTATAGAAAGACAATTACAGTTTTATGCAAAGCTGCAATCTGTGCTAATGTATGACAAACCAAATCACCAAGACTGTTGCAGTGTCTACTTGCTTGTTTAGGTGGTTATGTCCTTCCTATAGGGTTGCTATGAGTAAGAATTGACTCGACGGCAGTGGGTTTTCCTACCTTGAAACAAGTAATAGGGAGAGAGCAATACAGTTGCTCCCACCTTTTCCCCGACTACTTCTTTGTAATTGTGGATAGATTACAAAAAGTATAATGATATATTCCTGTGTTAATATAAAATAAGATTACCTAAGAACAGTCACTTTCTCTTTTGCTATTATATCTGAATTGGAGCCCTGGTGGTACAGTGGTTAAGAGCTGGGCTGCTAATAAAGAGGTCGGCAGTTTGAATCCACCAGCCGCTCCTTGGAAACCCTATAGGGCAGTTCTACTCTGTCCTATAGGGTTGCTATGAGTCGGAATCGATTTGACGATAACAGGTTTGGTTTTTATTATTTTTATTATTGCAATATCTGAAGTCCTTTACAACTTTGATATAATTTATCATAGCCTTGATCTAATTGGTTTTGGCATCCTTTATTTATTTGTTTATTGTTGTAGTTTAAGTGAAAGTTTACATTTCAAGTTAGTCTCTTATACAAAAATTTATGCATACATTGTTATGTGACCCTAACTGCTCTCCCTATACTGTGATAGCACACTCCTCCTTTCCACCCCTGATTTCCCATGCCTATTCAACCAGCTCCTAACCCTCTCTGCCTTCTCATCTCACCTCCAGACAGAATCTGCCCATTTAGTCTCATGTATCTACTTGAGCCAAGAAGCACACTCTTCATGAGTATCATTTTATGTCCCACAGTCCAGTCCAATCTTTGTCTAAAGAGTTGACTTCGGAAATTGTTTTAGCTCTGGGCTGATAGAGCATCCAGGGGACATGCTTTCCGGGGTTCCACCAGTCTCCATCAGACCATTAAGTCTGGTCTTTTTACTAGAATTTGAGTTCTGCACCCCACTTTTCTCCTGCTCTGTCAGGGACTCTCTGTTGTGTTCCCTGTCAGGGCGGTCACTGGTGGTAGCTGGGCACCATCTAATTCTTCTGGTCTCAGGCTGATGAAGTCTCTGATTTATGTGGCCCTTTCTGTCTCTTGGGCCACTACTTTCCTTGTATGTTTGGTGTTCTTCATTCTCCTTTACTGCAGGTGGTTGGGACCAATTGATGCATCTTATATGGCCACTTACAAGCTTTTAAGACCCCAGACACCCCTCACCAAAGTAGGATGCAGAACATTTTCTTAATAAACTTTGTTATGCCAGTTGACCTAGATGTCCCTTGAAAGCATGGTCCCCAGACCCCCACCCCTGCTGACATCCTTTATATTTTTATATGAGAAACCTAGAGTTCAGATTCAGCTGAAACAGTAAAATATCTAAGGCAAATAATATTCTATTGCTTCTGTGAAACATTTGTTTTATAAATAATAGCATGAACTGGAGTAGAAGCCATTTGAGTTTCCTAGAAAACATCTAAAATTATGTGTCAGCCTCTAGGATTATTTTCTAAGCCATATTACTATGTCACTTCCAATGATAATAAAATATTCTGATTATGTTTAAAAACAAACCAGTTGCCGTGGAGTCGATTCCAACTCATGGTGACCCCATATATGTCAGAGTAGATCTGTGTTCTGTAAGGTTTTCAGTGGGTACCCGACCATCAAGGGGGGCACTTGGACTCTAAAGGAAGGCAACTTTATTAGTTTCTAAGACCCTGACAGAGCCCCAGGGTGGTACAGTGGTTAACGCAGTTGGCTGCTAACTGAAAGATTGGAGATTCAAGTCCACCTGGAGGTGCCTTAGAAGAAAGGTCTGGTGACCTGCTTCTGAAAAATCAACCATTGAAACCTCTATGGAGCACAGTGCTACTCTGACACACCTGAGGTCCTTGTGAGTTGGAATTGACTCCACGGTATTTGATTTTTGTTTTTCTTTTTATGTGAGGCATTAGCGATTTAGTGGTAGAATTCTGAACAGGTTGCAGTAGCGCTTCCAGACTAAGAAGGAATAGGAAGAAAGGCCTGGAGAACTACTTCTGAAAATCACCCAGTGAAAACTGTGGATTACAACAGTCTGATCTGCATCCAATCATGGGGATGGCACAGGACTAGGCATTTCATTCTGTTGTGCAGAGGGTCCCCATGAGTTGGGGACTGAGTCCACAGCAGCTAACAACAAGCTTGTTCAGGAGGAAATATGATGGCTTCCTTTTGAAAGACTGCCTTAGAGAGGAACGTCTGGATTTTTAACAACTTCCACTAACTGGTAGAAGTTATAGGGAAGCCCAATTATTGTTTTAGATAATTTTCTTAAAAAATACGTAATTGTCAGGCAGTAGCATTACTTTTATCAAAAGGTAATCTGTTTCTTGCACTAAAACTTGCTAGATAATCCAACTTGCAGCCACTAAGTCCTGTTACGTAGTTAAAAATCCTTTTTGTCTCCAGATTCTTTTCTGGATTCCCAGCACTCTTGTAATCTTACATAGATCTGCATCATCTGTTACTTGGACTATAATCTAATAGATTCCTATCTAATCTCCTTGCTACCAGTCCAGAGTTGAATTTCTTTAGGTTCCTCTTCCCTATAGTATTGTTTCAAATTCTTTAGCCTGGTATACAAGTTTCCTTCATGACCTAGCCCTGTCACCCACTTATCAGTTCATTTAGCAGATAATAACCTCCTACCATGTGTCAGTCTTTGTGCTAAACCCTGAAAATCTGATGGCAAACATGACAGGCATGGACCTTGCCCTCAGAGAGGTTTCCATTTAGCTGGGAGGTAGATTTTTATAATTATTATAAAATATTTATTATTGTAATTACTTATTTAAATGTCTGAAATTAAGGGGGAAGTACATTCTCTCTACTACTTTCCCACCACTTCTCTTTCGTTACTTCCTCCACTCTGAAGGAGTGCCAGGGCTACATGTATGTTTCCATGCTTTTGTGTATATTAAAACCAAAAATCAAACCTGTTGGCATTGAGTCAGTTCTGACACATAGTGACCCTATAAGGCAGAGTAGAACTGCCCCTATAGGGTTTCCAAGGAGCAGCCAGTAGACTCAAACTGCTGACCTTTTGGTTAGTAGGCGAGCTCTTAACTACTGTACCATCAGGGCTCCTTGTATATATTATCTCCCTTTTTTTCCTAGTAAACTTGTGGCCTTCCTTTAAGACCCAGTTTAGACATCACCTCCAGGCAGAATGAGTCATTCCATCCTTTGTTCTTATATGCCTCTTGTCATTTATCTCTAATAATTACTAAATTATTTGCCTGTTTCTGTTTTTTTCATTGTAGAGCAAGAGATTCTTGCTCTAATTTCTTAGTTTCTTTGTATCCTCTTGACTAGAAAAGTGCCTGATGTTTACAAGATGTTCAGTGAATGTTTATTGCGTTAAGTCAAGAGTGATCTCTGCAATACTTGATAGCAGAGACTGAACATACTTCTCTTAGCTTCAATGATGTGTATTTGCTGTTTTTACTCTGCTTTTTAGGGTACAGATATTTCTTTTTAAACATAGCTTACTAGACAGACTTACAGTTATGATCTTTATGGTAGAAATGGTGGCTGTGTTTAAAAGTACTATTGTGAGTAACTTGTTAAATGATTATAATAACTAGTATAATTATATTAGTTGTTAGTTGCTATCAGGTTGGTTCTGACTCATGGTGACCCCATGTGTGCAGAGTAGAACTGCTCCGTAGGGTTTTCAAGGCTGTGATTTTTCAGAAACAGATTGCCAGGCCTGTCTTCCAAGGTGCTTCTGAGTGAGTTTGAACCACCAACTTTCTGGCTAGTAGTTGAGCACTTAACTATTTGTGCCACCTAGGGACTCCATAATTTATTTACTTAACGTATTTTTACATAAGTAAATATATATAAATATGTATATTTATGTACATATAATTTATATATATATTTTATAGTATGTAACATATTAAACATATTAATATAAGTGTAGTAAATGTAATAATTGTTAAATGATCACTTGGATACACTAAGAATGCTTATGGTGGTGGTTATGAAGCATTATCGTTTTTCTGCATGATATATAAAGCACAAAAGAGAGTGTTTCCTCTCTGAGGTTTCTGAACACCTCCCTGAATGTGAGGGAGGTTTGGGGAATCACCTTATCTTAATGGCATTTTAAAATAGTCACCCTGTAGTGACCTTATCCAAGTAAAGTTTTTTGTAACTCAGTTTACTTATCTGTAGAATAAAGATAATAAAACTGTAGGACTGTTGTGAAGATTAAAAGCATTAGTATATGAAAAACAGTACCTGGCTCATAGGGTTATCCTTGTGACTGCTATTCTTATTCTCTGAAGACAGGGAATGAATTAAATGCCTCAAAGACATTTTTCATCTTAAGAGTCTCTGAAAATATGACTTTGGCTTATAATACCCACTCTACTTATTTACTTCTCTCCTAAGAGGATTGCCTCTAAACTGTTTAGTTGAACATACTAAAATGTTGAGTAACACTTGACACATCATGACATAATGATTTTGTTTTTGCAGATGTTCTCAAATAGTGATGAAGCTGTAATCAATAAAAAACTTCCCAAAGAACTCCTGTTACGGTAAGTCTGTGAATGCTAATTTTTTGTTGGATTTTTTATGTATATCGTATTTGCCTATTTTAAAATTATGATCATTTCTCCATTACTGGCATATGTCATTTCCCAAAGCACTCCTGTTATGGTAAGTCTGTGAATGCTAATGTTATGTTGGATTTTTTATGTATATCATATTTGCCTATTTTAAAATTATGATCATTTCTCCATTACTGGCATATGTGATTTGTTAGACACAAATTTATTCTGCTACATTAATTATAATTTAATTTTATCAGTAAACTAGTTATGTATAAAATTTATTGATTGCTTTGTGAACTTTTAGGCTTATTGCTAGTTTTCACATATATAGTATCTGGGTTATCTGGATTTTTAATTTATCAATTCTTTTGTTAAATAATCTTACTCCATATTTTCTAGATATGAATCAAGATATTTGAAAGTTTAGTAGCAGTTTTCTCCCTTCCAACTTATATATGATTTTGTTTTCTACTTTTCCACTGCCCTGTTTATTATTATATATAATGTAAAAGAGGTGGGTTTTTTTAATTTTACAGTATTGAGTCTTTGAGGAATGATTCTAGTGTATCCTTTCTCCTACGCTCCCCATTCCCTGTATCAAAATGTGCCTATAAAGTCACTTAAGTTTGGAACAAAATATTACGTATACTGAGGAGCTTCGTGGAATAATTATTTTAAAAGGCAAAGTTATTTGAAACCCCTTCCTATCAGTATTGCGGTTAAGATTTTACCATCCTCATTTTTAACCCATAGAAGCTGCATTTGGGTTCACCCATAACATAAAACACAGACCCCCCATTTTACAAACATCTGATTTAGGATTCACCTAGGTAGAAGCTGGCATTGGGGGAGTTACTTTCAGAGCCCCTGCGCTATTTGGGCACTTAACCATAACATTCTTTGTTCTTATGTGGAATATCATGACTGAGAAAGATATTTTGCAGATGTTGCAATTAACTAGTTACTATACTCAGAGGCATCAATGCCTCTTCCTCTTAGGACCTACTGTAGTCTAGCTCATAACCAGCCCCATTACCGCTTAAGGGTAGAAAATAATCTGACTCTGCTGCTGGTAAAGGGCATTACCTAAGTATGAACATGTCTGAGTCCTCCACTAAATTGCAATCAGTGACCATAGCCTGTAAATCTTGATATTCCCTTAGTACATTCACACTGGAGAAACTAAGAAAAAATAGCTGAATTGAACTTGGAATGCATTTTTACATAAAAGCAATGCATACGTGCTGGTTGGCTATCGTTGAAATAATAACAGTAAACCCTGGACTACCCAGAGACTGGAGAATGTGTCTTTCTGAACATCTTGAGTAATTTCAGCAACATCTTAAAGAGAAATATTTTTAAATGGGCTATGTTCTTCACTGTTACCGTAAACTGAGTACATTAAAAAATTTAATTTTTTGATGATAGTGCTGTTGTTTTGGACATTAAATATTATTCTGTACTACAGTAGTTTATGTTAAGACTCACCAAAATTTGGAGAAATTACTTGACTCTTTGGTAAGTGGCCCCACCCTGCTGTTGATTTACATGTTTATATGGTTGCTTTCTAGTTTTCACCATAAAACCCAAGTTCCTTAGACCTACAAGGGCCCTCATGATCTGACAAGGGAATAATATGATTTGGTTTACATTTTTTTGTTTTGTTTTTTAATTGTTGTACTTTAGGTGAAAGTTTACAATTCAAGTTAGTCTCTCATACAAAAATTTATACATACATTGTTTTGTGACCCTAGTTGTTCTCCCTATACTTTGACAATATACTCCTCCTTTCCACCCTTGATTTCCTGTGTCCATTCAACCAGCTCCTGACCCTCTAGGCCTTCTCATCTCACCTCTGGATAGGAGCTGCTCATTTAGTTTCATGTGTCTACTTGAGCTAAGAAGTGCACGCTTCACGAGTATCATTTTATGTCCCATAGTCCAGTTTAATCTTTGTCTGAAGAGTTGGCCTCGGGAATGGTTTTAGTTCTGGGTTGACAGAGAGTCTGGGGGCCATGCTTTCTGGGGTTCCTCCAGTCTCCGTCAGACCATTAAGTCTAGTCTTTTTACTAGAATTTGAGTTCACCCCACCTTTCTCCTGCTCCATCAGGGACTCTCTGTTGTGTTCCCTGATAGGGCGGTCATTGGTGGTAGCCAGGCACCATCTAGTTCTTCTGGTCTCAGGCTGAAGAAGTCTCTGGTTTATGTGGCCCTTTCCGTCTCTTGGGCTAATATTTTCCTTGTGTCTTTGGTATTCTTCATTCTCGTTTACTCCAGGTAGCTGGGACAAATTGATGCATCTTAGATGGCCACTCGCTAGCTTTTAAGACCCCAGATGCCACTCACCAAAGTAGGATGCAGAACATTTTCTTAAACTTTGTTATGCCAGTTGGCCTAGATGTCCCCTAAAACCATGGTCCCCAGACCCCTGCCCCTGCTACTCTGTCCCTCGCAGTGTTTGGTTGTATTCAGGAAACTTCTTAGCTTTGGTTTACTCCAGTCGTGCTGACTTCGCCTGTAGTGTGTGCTGTCCTTCCCTTCACCTAAGATAATTCTTGTCTAGTATGTAGTTAGTGAATAACCCTCTCCCTCCCTCCCCACCCTTGTAACCATCAAAGAATGTTTTCTTCTGTGTTTAAACCTTTTCTTGAGTTCTTATAATAGTGGTCTTATACAATATTTGTCCTTTTGCGACTGACTAAATTCACTCAGAATAATGCCATCCAGATTCCTCCATGTTATAAGATGTTTCACGGATTCATCGTTGTTCTTTATCATTGCGTAGTATTCCATTGTGTGAATATACCATAATTTGTTTATCCATTCATCCGTTGATGGGCACCTAGGTTGTTTCTGTCTTTTTGCTATCATGAACAGTGCTGCAATGAACATGGGTGTGCACGTATCTATTCTTGTGATGACTCTTATTTCTCAAGGATATATTCCAAGGAGCAGGATTGCTGGATCACTTGGTACTTCTATTTCTAGGTTTTTAAGGAAGCGCCAAATCGATTTCCAAAGTGGTTGTACCATTTTACATTCCCACCAACAGTGTATAAGTGTTCCAGTCTCTCCACAACCTCTCCAACACTTATTATTTTGTGTTTTTGGATTAATGCTAGCCTTATTGGAGTGAGATAGTATCTCATTGTAGTTTTGATTTGCATTTCTCTAATGGCTAATGATCGTGAGCATTTCCTCATGTCTGTTAGCTGCCCAAATGTCCTTTTTGGCGGAGTGCCTGTTCATATCCTTTGCCCGCTTTTTAATTGAGTTACTTGTCTTTTTGTTGTTGAGGTTTTGCAGTATCTTGTAGATTTTAGAGATTAAACACTGATCGGAGTTGTAGCCGAAAGTTTTTTCCCAGTCTGTAGGTTGTCTTTTGACTTTCTTGATGAAGTCTTTCGATGAGCATAAGTGTTTGATTTTTAGGAGCTCCCGGTTATCTAGTCTCTCTTCTGGTGTTTTTGGTTTACATTTTTAAAGGATTTGTCTGGCTATGTATGAAAACGAGATTGGGAGATATATGTGGAAGGCTGAAAAATCCAGGCAAGCGATGAGGGTAACATAGATAACATTTTTTGCAATTCTTTAGACTTCAGTATTGCTCTGCCATTTCCCTTTCTATTTTTAGTCACTGTTTGTGACCTCACTTTGATACCTCTGGATGAGCTATAAGGTCTATAGTGGCCAGACAGATGCATTGTGCAGGAAATTGGTTGAAGAAAATTCCTGTATCAGCCAGCTTTTGTTAACCACAAATAACTCTCAAATCTCAGTGACTTTCTCCTGCACCATTACATGAAGCTACATTTTGGCTTTGGTTCTCTTCCAGACAGTGATTTGACTGTGTGTCTTCTGTGCTTAGCTTCTCATTGCTGGATGCAGACTAAATACCAAAAACCACCAAACCTGTTGCCGTCTAGTCGATTCTGACTCATAGCAACCCTATACGACAGAGTAGAAGTGCCCCATAGAGTTTCCAAGGAGTACCGGTTGGATTCGAGCTGCCAGTCTTTTGGTTAGCAGCTGTAGCTGTTAACCACTACACCACCAGGGTTTCCATAGATTAAATGAGTAGCCCCTATCTGAGGCTGAGGGCAGGTATACAAAAGACCAAGGTAGATCACCTAAGTGATTTTAAAACTTTTACTCAGATGTGGCATCATCATGTCCACCTACATCCCATTGGCTAAAGCAGTTCACATGTCTAAGTCTAATAATGATGGAATGGGAAAGTATATGGAGGAGAGGCTGTGTAAATATATGTTAACAGTACTGTTGTTGTGAGGTGCCTTCAGGTTAGCTCCGACTTACAGCAAAACATTGCCCAGTCCTGCACCATCCTCACCAACATTGCTATGTTTACAATTTACCACACACACACGTGTATTAACTGTCTCTCCTCAGTTCTGCCTCTCCTCCTTACTCTTCAGCACTGATTGCAGTGAAGAGTTGTGTAACCATATCCTAGCACTACCGCTGCCACTCATCTTATTAGCACACTGCCATTCTAGGGTCTGGGCATGGGAAAGCTTAGGAGTATTTGATTCCTTCTAGGTATCAAAATGAGTAGCCGTGAGGTGGGAGGTTGGGAAAACAAAAGAGATTGAAAAAGGAAAATATGTGTCTTACTTCTCAAGTTAGAACACTAGAGATATTTTATCTCTGTCAACATTTTTATCAATGATAATTTGGTTCTAATTTATGTGTTATGTTGGAACATACCCTTGGATACGTTATAGGTTAAATTGACTCATTTCTAAGCTAAGCAGGAAACCTAACTACCACATACAATGTTACTTCTGTGAGAAAATTAGCTTGAGTTCTAAACAACCAGTTCTATGTATAAAACATGGATTTTGTTTAAACCATTAAACACTAATAGGAAAGAGGCTTTCTTGATATCTTTGACATTGCACTGGAGAGAGAACAATTGATCAGTATAAATATTAATAAATTCAATCTGAGCATTTATAATTTAT